AATTTTTATTTATTTATGATAGTCACAGAGAGAGAGAGAGAGAGAGGGAGGCAGAGACACAGGGAGAGGGAGAAGCAGGCTCCATGCACTGGGAGCCCAACGTGGGATTCAATCCCGGGTCTCCAGGATCGCGCCCTGGGCCAAAGGCAGGCGCCAAACCGCTGTGCCACCCAGGGATCCCCGACATTTTCTTTTCTTAAATGAATTTGAGCTTTTTAGTGGAGAAGATAGCAGGTGATCCTTTGACCCTGACTAGCATTTTAGAGTTCTCTGGAATTGACAGTGAAATTGTTTCTGGTACCAATTCTGTTGGTGGGATAGGAGGGTTCCCCCCGCCTACCAACAAGCAGTTCTTGGCTACCAGCAAGATATCCTAATTCTGATACTGTTTACCTCGAGATAGTATCATAGGATCCCACAGGTAAAGTTCGGTCCTAGAAGACTGCACCCCACCCCCTACTTCAGATGCCAATCACAAGCCCAGATTGTTACCTGTGCTACCAGCTACAGATTGGAGGTTCCCACAGCCTCCTCCTTGGACTTCAGATGCAAGTCACAAGTCCATGTTTTTACCTATACTTCTGACTGACTGGCTGTAAACCAGGGATTCCCAACCTGGAAGCTCTCTAAACCCTGCCCTTTTGGCTTCATTACATAAGCATGATTAATTTAATCATTAGCCATTGGTATTGACTCATCCTCCAGTCCCTCTTCCTTCTGGAAGATCTAGTGGGGGGACTGAAAGTTCTAACCCTCTAAACACAGGGTTGGCTCCCTTGACAACCAACCAATGCCCATCCTTAGGTACTTCACAAAAGTCACCTCATCAACATAACAAGAGTCTCCTCCCCCCTTAGGAAATTCTAAGAGTTTTGGAACCTGTGAGCCAGGAACTGTGGAAAATAACTAAATATGTGTGAGAAATATATTTTGGTCATCTGAATAGTCATATATATCGATTTCTTCTAAATTGCAGTATCATACCTTTCTCTTGGTGACACCACAGAGCTTATTGGGTTGGCATAAACTCTTGGAAATCAGGAAGCCTGAGCCCCTTCTCCTTGGACCTTGAGCCTAACTTGAGCCATCTGACAAGGCTGGCTCTTCCTTTTAGACTGTCTCTGTAGGAGTACAGACCCTATTCAAAGTCAGTTGGCCTCTCAGTTTTCTGCCCAGAGGCTTTCTTTACAAAACTTTAAGTCTTCTGGAAGTATGGTATTTCAACTAGCGTTATATTATGTGTGTATGTTTAATTTGTAATTTTTAAAGTTTATTGTATACCCACTACCAGCATAGCTTTTGGCTAGCTGTTGCATAGGACGCACAAAAGAAGTATAAAATAGATGGGACAGGTTTTTTTTTTTTTAAGCTTACAGTAAAAAGAAGGGCATTTGTCCAAACATTAGAAATAAAAGGCTGAATGTCTCAAGCAAGTCATTGGCTAAGTTAGAGTGGGGAAGGAGGTAGAGAGGAGGTGAGATTAAAAAAAAGAAAGGATGCCATCCAGCTGGAAGGAATCCAGAAACTAGAACAGCATTTGGTCTAGTTCTTCGGCGGGGAGTATGGTTGGTAGGAAAAAAACTGAGTTTCTGGGTAGATTTTAGGCAACGCACATGAGTGAAGTTGTTAAAAGATAAACTGAGGCATATTTAAACTTTTAAGAGTTTATTTGAACAAAAATTTATTCCAGTTGGGCAGCGACTAACTAAGTGAACTCTGCCAATGGGAGGAACTCTGCCAATGGGAGCCAGTGGAAAAACTTATGTAGAGAAAGTGCAGAAGCAAAGAGAGGAAGTTATTTGATTGGCTATAGCTTAAAGCCTAGTTGACTGTTGGTGGTTGGTTATCCTTAGCATTTTGATTTTGTAACTTTGAGGCATTTACAGTCTTTGACTTGGGTTTTGCTTATGTAGGCCCTGGCGTTAGAGCCACTTCAGTCTAATGGTCTCCTTGTTAAATTAATTTAACATTTTTACAGAGCTGTAAAAATGCAGGGCAGATTTTACTTTGAATGTAGAGTAATGAGACTGGAGAAGATAACACTAGAATTTGCAAGTCACATCATGTCCCTTCTTTGCTTATGGCTTCTCATCTCATTTAGGGAAAAAGCCAAAGTCCCTAAAACATCATCTGTTCCCTTCCCCTAATTCCCACTACTTTATTCCTTCCTCCTCCTTCTCTAGCTGTTTCCCTTGATCAGGCCAAGGGCGCCACCTCTGGGTGTTCGTTTCCTCTGCCTAAAGTTCTCTTCTGCCAAACAGCTACATGGCTCACCCTTTACTTCTTTCAGGTCACCCTTATCTGAGAGACCTGTCCTGGATTTTCTGTATCATTCCCTCTCACTTCTGTCACTCTCCATTCCCCCTACTTTGTTTTTATTCTTCTCAGTATTCAGGAAGTACAAGGTTAGGATCGCTGACATCCTATATATGGTTGCTTGTGAATTGTTGCCTGGTCTTAAGCCATTAGAATGCACATTCTCTGGGAGTGAGGACCTACTGCTGTATCCCCAGGACATAGGACCAGTACCTGGCATATTCAAATATTTATTAGACAAAAAAGAAAAACAAGAGCAGGAAAGAGAGGGAGAGGGAGGGAAGGAATTAGGTATGGGTCCTATAGGATTTTGCATTCCAGGCAGGGGAATACAAATTTATTCATTAGAAGGGTTTGAACAGAGGAGTGAGAGTGGGGACGCCTGTGTGACTCAGCAATTGATCATCTGCCTTCAGCTCAGGGCATGATCCTGGGATCCGAAATCAAGTCCCATATTGGGCTCCTTGTGGGGAGTCTGTTTCTCCCTCTGCCTGTGTCTCTGCCTCTCTCTATGTGTGTCTCTCATGAATAAATAAATAAAATCTTTTTTTAAAAAAATGAAGGAGAGTGAAAACACGTACTTTAGGAAGATTAGTTAGATGACAATGTATAGGATAGATTTTTAAAAAAACTTCCATCAGTCCCCCCTTTCCTATCTCTCTTTTTTTAAGATTTATTTATTTATTTATTCATAGACGGGGTGGGGGGGCAAAAACACATTACACTTAGTTTTTGAAAATCTGTAAATAACTTAAAGACAAAATGTTCAACATATAAAAGCTAATAAGGTGGCCCTTTAAGATAATATGGCTAGCAGAATATCTAAAAATATCAAAAGTTTAATTTTTTTTAAGATTTTATGTATTTATTCATGAGAGACACAGAGAGGGAGAGAGAGAGGGGCAGAGACACAGAGGGAGAGGGAGAAGCAGGCTCCATGCAGGGAGCCCGACGTGGGACTGGATCCTGGTACTCCAGGATCACCCCCCTGGGCCCGAAGGTGGCGCTAAACTGCTGAGCCACCCAGGGATCCCCAGAAGTTTAATTTTTAAAAGAATGAATAAAGGACTTTAAACAATTTAGCTAATCTCCTTCCCACCCACTATCCTTCCCAGTTCTGAAATTGTTGATAAATTACTGATCAGAATACTTTTAATTAGTAGGGTAGGGTAGGCAAAGGAAAAAATAGAACCCTGTTAAGAGTCTTATAGAAATATTTTTCTATAAAGAAAGGATCTGAAGGTTATTAAGTAGACAAATGGCCAACAGAAAGAAATGTTATATAGTAATATAAGGCACTGGTTTTATTTTTTTTTAAAGATTTTATTTATTTATTCATGAGAGACACAGAGAGAGGCAGAGACCCAGGCAGAGGGAGAAGCAGGCTCCTCACAGGGAGCCCGAGGTGGGACTCGATCTGGGTCTCCAGAATCAGGCCCTGGGCCAAAGGTGGCACTAAACCGCTGCACCACCTGGGGTTGCCCAATGCACTGGTTTTAAAACAAAAAAATTAAGACCTGTTTAAGTAATATGATTTGTCAATACTGATGAAGTGAAGTTTTAAAATCATCTTTATTGTAGAAAGAAAAGGCTACAAAGAACACTGGGACAGAATAAAGAAATAAAACAACAGGCCATTCACTTTATTTTTAATGTAGGAGGCCAAGAACCTGGAGAGTATTACTAAAGAGGGGATTTTCTAGCACTTTGCCAAAACTTGAAAATCAGATGCAGAAACATTAAAAAGCATGTTTCTACACATATAATAAAATTCTAGAACTACACACACACACACACACACACACACACACACACAAGTGCATGTAAAGAATGATGATATTCAACTAAGGCCTATGGCAGAGTTAATAGTATTGTACCAAGGTCATTTTTCTGGATTTGACAATGAACTACAGTAATGTAAGATATTATCACTAGGGCAGATTGGGGGGAAAGTAGAGGGAATTTGCTTTTAGCAATTTTAGCAATTTCTTGAGAGTCACACTATTTCAAAATTCAAAGTTTTATTTTTTAAGCACAAATAGCTATGTTACAGTGCTGGCTTTGAGATAGGAAGGGGGGGTTGGGCAGCCCAAGTGGCTCAGCAGTTTAGCGCTGCCTTCAGTCCAGGGCGTGATCCTGGAGTCCCAGGATCAAGTCCCACGTCGGGCTCCCTGCATGGAGCCTGCTTCTCCTCTCCCTCTCCTCTCCCTCTGCCTGTGTCTCTGCCTCTCTCTCTCTCTCTCTCTCTCTCTCTCTCTCTCTCTCTCTCTCTCTCCCTCTCTGTGTCTCTCATGAATAAATAAATAAAATCTTAAAAAAAATTAAACTTCTGATATTTTTAGATATTCTGCTAGCCATATTATCTTAAAGGGCCACCTTATTAGCTTTTATATGTTGAACATTTTGTCCTTAAGTTATTTACAGATTTTCAAAAACAAAGTGTTAATGTTGAAATCTTATAATTTCTGCAGCTGTGTTATATATGTGCTATATACATTCATATATATTCTATGTGAGAGATATAACATATACACATATATAGCACATACACGCTTATATGTGGCTGATGTTTAGGGTGATAATTGATGGTCTTCAGTAGGATGCTGGATTAATATGCAGGCCTGTGTGTGACCACTAAAGAAGAACCAAGGTCTTTGTGAACATACTTGATACATTTCTTACAGGTTTTGAGTTGTATCCGCACGGAATGGGATCCACTGGATGTTCGCTTTGGCACCAAACAGCCTTATCAAGTGTTGACAGTGGAGCGCTCCATCAGTGTAGACAAAGAGCCCATGGCTGACAGCTGCATCTATGAATATGTTCGGAACAAAATCCAGTGTATATCAGTAACCAGAATACCACTAAGATCAAAGGCTATTAGCTGCTGCAGGAATGTTACTGAAGACAAACTGATTCTGGGCTGTGAAGATTCTTCAGTAATTCTTTATGAAACTCACCGTAGAGTAACTCTCTTAGCCCAGGCTGAACTTTTGCCTTCATTAATAAGCTGCCACCCAAGTGGCGCCATTCTACTAGTTGGCAGCAACCAAGGGGAGCTGCAAATTTTTGATATGGCTTTATCCCCTATTAACATCCAGCTCTTGGCTGAAGACCGCTCACCCAGGAAGACTCTGCAGTTCAATAAATTCTTTGACATTTCCAGCAGTCTTGTTCAAATGCAGTGGATAGCTCCTCCATTGGTTTCTGAGAAGCCAGAACGTGGGGACATTTATGATCTCCTCTTCCTCAGGTTTGACAGAGGACCTTTGGGTGCGCTTTTGTTTAAGCTTGGTAAGTCAAGAAAGTTGGTGAGTTAAGATAAAATGTTTACGATGGTAACATTATGATTAAGAGAATAAAACCATCCTAGAAATGGAAGTTTTCTGTGTCATCCTATAAAGGCTTGCCTTTCAAAAATTTTATATAATTTTTTTTCAGGTAATATTTATGCCCAATGTGGGGCTCTGACTCACAACTCTGAGATCAAGAGTCATGTGCTCTCTTAACTGACCCAGCCGGGTGCCTTCATATAGTTTCTTTAAGAAAGCTTTATGAATGATTTTCTAAATGTTAAGGAACATTAGATAGTGAAGAGTTTGGAAACTGCACTAATTGCCCATTGTGATGCATAAAAAACTTAACACTTTTGATACTTTCCAAAATAAATACATATATGAATATTTTGAAAGTACTTAATATGCCATTAAAAAGTTCTTTGTTGTAGGAATGTAATACTTTTTCTATTAATTATTCTAGATGATAAGTATCCATTGCTTCCCTGATTGGATGTGTAAGACAAATGTTTTAAAAGAAGAGAAAGCAAATGTTTGGTTAGAATTTGGACAGAAGGTTATACAACTTCTTCTGTTTCCTTTTAGATAAAAATATTGAAAAAGTTTTTCAATATTATGAAAATCATGTATTAATGTAGCCCATTTCAACCAGGAAACATTTTATTTTATTTTATTTTATTTTATTTTATTTTATTTTATTTTATTTTATTTTATTTTATTTATTTTTTTAAATTTTTACTTATTTATGATAGTCACACAGAGAAAGAGAGAGAGTCAGAGACACAGGCAGAGGGAGAAGCAGGCTCCATTTACCGGGAGCCCGACGTGGGATTTGATCCCGGGTCTCCAGGATCACGCCCTGGGCCAAAGGCAGGTGCTAAACTGCTGCGTCACCGAGGGATCCCACTTTTTTTTTTTTAGAATTTTTTTTTTTTTAAGTAATTTCTACATCCAGTGTGGAGCTTGAACTTACAGCCTGAAGATGAAGGGTCGTATGCTCTATTGAGTAAGCCAGCAGGTGCCCCTCAACCAGGAAACTTTAATACAAAATTGTATTAGTATGATTCATTGGTCTTTTGCAGTTTTACATTACCAGCTATGCATTATGCCCTATAATATTCTTTTTTTTCCCTATAATATTCTTTAGGTAGTTTTGTATAACTTAACATTCTTGAGAGAACCTCACTTAGGTTTTAAAAATAGATTTTAATTCATATTATTGCAACTTGAAAACAGAAAAGTAAATATATTTTTAAACCCATTACATGATTTGGCTCTGTGGTACAAAATTAAGTTTTGAAAGACATTGTAATGTTTGTTAAATAGCTGTCAGTTTACTTTTTTTTTCTAATATGTCTACCTCTGAAATTGAACCCATGAAATAAATCTAGTTGAAAATGACTTGATTAACCTGAAAGATATAGCAGATATAATGTGAGGACTATATTCTTTCCACATAATAAAACCGCAACTAAATCTGTTTATAATGGTCATGTTGCCCAAGAAAAAAAATGTTTGGAATCTCATTTATTGTAAGATAATCCAGTTCTACTTTGCCCGGCTACATGTTTAACAGTTGTATATCTCCATACACAACACTCATTAAAGTGGATGTTAGATGTTTTGCATGTCTGTTAAAACACACACACACACACACACACACACGCATACACACACACACACCCTCTAAATTACCCAGTTACCTGTCAAACAAAAGGCTGTCTGCCCACATATACCTAGCTTTTCTTCAGCCCTCCCTTGTGGGCCTACTCACAACAGCTTTGCAAAAAGCACAGCTTTCTCTTCCTATCTCTAGCACATTTGCCTTCTTACTAAAGTAAACAGGCTCTCAGTGTAGGGATTTAGAGGGCTTCCTGCTAATTGCCAGCTTGTAAACTTAATTGGACTGTCTCCCTGGGCACTGTTCCTAAATCAATTAGGCAATGAGTTGGCTGTCACCTCTTTTTCCCAAGAAGGTCTCTTGGAAGAGAATTATCCAATAGAAGTCAAGCATTCAAATGAAAAGGTGATAACTTCTGCAACTGACATTTATCATTTAAATTTTTATTTTTCAATATGACTCTTAAGTTTTATGGGATAGGGGAAATTGTACAGACTTACAGACTCTTTAAAAGATCTAGATATGGAGTTTCCCAGAATTTTAAAAAATGTAAGATTAATATTTATTACAGATTATTTATTTTTTCTAGGAAGAGTAGATTCCTTGAAACAGTAGATTCCAACTAACAGATCTTTTTTTTTTTTTGAAAGAAAACCCTGTTTAAAGAACAGATTTTTCTTAGGTTCTGCTACTAAATACATCCAAAAATTTTAATATACTTCTTGAATTAACACAGTGCTGATTCTGGGCATCCATGTGGAATTTTCATGTATAATTCAAGTTACTGCATATATAAACAGGTAGTTGCATGTGCAGTTTCTCCACTAGGGAGCATTTACGAGATTTTTTCATAAGCTTGTTATGCAAGCCTTTGGAAAATTTGACATGCAAGGTGTAGCTTACAATTTAAGAAGCTGACATAGATCATAGTTTAAAATAGAATGCTGTCATATGTAAACGTGGCAGTGGCTGGTGCCAATATGCTAAGATTTTTGGAGTTTGACTTTGAGAATAGGTCAGTGTAGTGTTGAAGGAAAACTTTGTTCCAAGGCTAGAACTTCCATTCTAAATCCTTATAATCATCACACAAATGTGTTGGGGATTAAAAGGCCATCACTAGTGTTAGAAGAATTTGAAGAGCATGTCTTCCTCAGGAGGGAGCTAGAAGTGTCATCCTCCCACATGGAAGCCAATAAGTACTGTTTTATGTAAAGCAAAATGTAATCAGATTTCTTTGCTTGGCAATCATTGTTCCATATTTCCACATATGTAGACTGAGATTAATTTTCAAAAGAGGAGTCCCTAATTATATTACAGAGATATTAAAGCTTTTCCATTGTCATCAGTCAGTACCTTTTTCAACTTTCACTGGCTCTCCTTAAACTCACATGGTCAGCTCCCTGCCCTCTCAGCTCCCTGCCCAATTAAAGAGTCTTACCTTTTAATTGGCACTTCATTATCTGCTCTTCACCATCTACCTACCCACCCACCTAACCAACCATTTATCTACATGAACATAAATGTTTCCTTCTCAGTTCAGTGGAAAAGGAGCCCTTCCTCTTATCTAAAACAGTTCCACCACTAGTTCCAGTCTGGATCCCATTACATTCCTATGGATACCTTTACTTTGTCATCCAACCCATAGCCCCCATGAATTTTGCTTTGTAGATTAGGCCCAAGCCACACTATAAAACAAACAAATGAACATCTCTTCCTTAAAATTGTTTCTTCTCTGTTACTAATCAAATGTTCTCCTTCTTTTCGTAGTTACAATCACTGAAGTAATAGTGAACACTGACTTTTTCTGCTACTTTACTTCCCATTAGTTCCTCACAGTATCAAGTTCTGGCCTGGTTCTTTATTGTTCTCCTGGAACTGCTTTTGGAAAGGTCATCAGAGACTTCCTACTTGATACATATATTTCTTTTATCTTACTTGATGACTTTTCAGCATTTAATAATAGTTGCTGACCACTTCTACCATCACAGAATTCTCATCATACCTGCCTTCTGTGACCCGAAATCCACCTTTTCATCACTTTTTCATGTCCTCCTTCTGTATACTCATGAATATGTTGAGGCTCCCAAAATTTCCATTTTTAGCTCTCCTCCTGATTTATACAGATTAAGAGCTTTTTCTTATTTTCCTTCTCCCCAAACCTGTTTCTTCTCTTATATTCTCCATTTTGGTGGATGGCACAATTATTCAGATGGAATCCCAAGTGAGAAATCATCCTAGAATCCTCCCTCACCCCTAATGCCATATAATTAGTGACCAAGTCCTTTCAATTCTACCTTCTAAATACTGTCAGAAACCTCTCTAGTCAGCCTTGCTGTCGTTACCTTAATTTGGACCTACCCTGTTTTTTTTTTTATTTTAATTTTATTTATTTATTTTTTAACATTTTATTTATTTATTCATGAGAGACACAGAGAGAAAGAGAGGCAGAGACACAGGCAGACACAGGCAGAGAAAGAGAGGCAGAGACACAGGCAAGTGAGAAATCATCCTAGAATCCTCCCTCACCCCTAATGCCATATTAGTGACCAAGTCCTTTCAATTCTACCTTCTAAATACTGTCAGAAACCTCTCTAGTCAGCCTTGCTGTCGTTACCTTAATTTGGACCTACCCTGTTTTTTTTTTTATTTTAATTTTATTTATTTATTTTTTAACATTTTATTTATTTATTCATGAGAGACACAGAGAGAAAGAGAGGCAGAGACACAGGCAGAGAAGCAGGCTCCATGTCAGGAGCCCGACGCGGGACTCGATCCTGGGACTCCAGGATCACACCCCGGGCCAAAGGCAGGCGCCGAACCACTGAGCCACCCAGGGATCCCCCGTACCCTGCTTTCAAGCAGTGATCAAGTAGTAGCTCTCTTTCTGTAATCTTCTACCTTCCAATCTTCTCATCCCACCCCATAGTTAATCCCCTGAACTGCCACCAGAGTAATCTAACTGCAGATTTGGTCATGGATTCTTCAGCCTGAAATTCTTCAGTGATTGATAAACCCTTGTCTGCTTCTCAGGGCACATCCCTCCCAGCTGTTTTTGCAAGAGTGTAGCTCCCCATCCAAGGCATGTGCTCTACACTCCCTCCTTCCATGGTTTAGATAGTTTTCCATCCACCTGGAGTGCCCGCGTAGTGCTCTCACTAGAGACCGCAAAGTTGGGAAAAGATTAAATGTTCAAATGATTATATCAAGCAAGAAATAATTAAAGCCTCTCCTAGGATTTTGAAAATCAAAGGCAGTATGTGCATGTGCATGTGTGTTTGTCATTCTGTCTAAAAAAACAAGTAGTATGATGTTTCTCTTAGTGTTTTTTTAAGAAGTATGTTTTCTTCAAAAGAGTTATTTTCAGTGGGCTATTTACC